AATGCTACATCATTAAGAGTTGTGTTTAATTCAGGAGCAAGCGACTGTACGGCTGCTGCTGCTGAGGAGCAGGTAACTTTCGACTGGTGGGAGCTGCCGGCAAATCCGGAGGGATGGGGGGAAGCAGCCCAGCTCAGCCGGGAGGCTGCTGTGGCTCCCTCACCTCCTCCGGAAAGTTCACTGCTTCCCAAGCGGGCATCTCGCCGCAGAGGCGAGATGCATTCCTTTTCTCCCTTTTTTAAAATAATAATAATTATTGTAATAATAATAACAAGTATCTCACGTTTTCCTCCTCCAGCCTCTGTGCTTATGCAAAATTAAGTAAAGGAGGGGTCCCCAAAAGTTTAACTTGGAAGCTGGAGCACTATTTTGGACCACTGATGAAATACCCTCTCGTCTTTTTAAGCCAATCCAAACTGCTAAAAAATATCACTTGCCCACTTGTTTCTTATCACGACCGGTACAGCACGCACCGCATTCACAGGGCTCTGTTACGGCAGCCGGATGGGCCACATCTTACACACCCATCAAATGCTCATTCATTTATCCCGGAAAATCGTAACTGAAGAGAGAGAAGAAGAAAGAAAGAGGGAAGGAAGGGGGAAGATAGATGTGTTTGTAAAGATGGCATCAGTGAAAATTAGTCAGCGCTTGCCCCGGAAGACTGACAAAAATTGAATTAAATCGTTATAATAATAATAACAATATCAAAAAGCCTAATAAGACCAACACGATGGGTTCTCTTTTACCTGCCCCAGGCTCTCCCTTTCTCCCCCCCCCTCGCCTTCCCCCTCGCCGCGGCCGCAGTGCTGTATTTTCCTCTCGCCGGTACCTCGACCGCTACGCCCCAGCCCCGTCTGAACCCCTGCCTCCCCCGATAAAAAAAATAATCAGCGCTTGCAAGCGTCGATTGAGTCACTCCCGAGTCAGGATTAAGGGGCACTAACTAGGCAGCAGAAAATCGCAGCCTCTTGGGAGCGACCATCAAAACAAGCAGTGAAATAAAAGAGCCTCTCTCTCTGCTTCCCTTCCTCTCCCCAGAAAAGTCCTCCAGGTTGGCAGCCCGACACACACAGACGCTCACAACTTCGTAGGGCTCCCTCCATAAGAAACCACTGGTTTGCCCGGGTTTGTTCAGGGGGAGGTAGAGGGAACTGGGGGGGAGCTGCTCCTCTGCCCTGCAGAGCCACATGTCATTCTAGCAGCTGAAACAATGAATCATGTGGGACCAAGTAAGATTGACTGGAAACGGACGGCAGGTTCCCCGGCCTGGAGAAGGCGGCTATCGTCAGCACAGGGGGACCCCGGGGTCCCAGCGCGGGGTGGGGAATGGCCGGGGGAGGGGGGGACCGAGGCCGCGCACCCCCGGGCGATCCCCCGCGGGACCTCCGCCTGCCCGTAACAAACTTACAGGATCCGGAAAGGATTTCCCCAGCCGAGAGGCAGCCTCTGCCTCTGCTCTGCTCTGCTGCCCCGTCCGCCGCCTCTGCCGCCGTTTTCCCGCGCTGCGCTCCCGCTGCCGCCGCCGCCCGCTCCGGCTCCGCTCCCGGCTCCGCGCCCGGCGGGACGCCCCGCGCGCGCGCCGCTCCACTCCGCTCCGCGCCCGCGGGGATCGGCGGCTGCGCCGCCCGGCGGGTCCCGGCTCGGCATTAGCCGATCCCATTGACAGTTTGCAGCCAGCAGCTGCAGTCATTAAAAGCCATTTACACCCTGGCCTCCTCACACAAAGCTGGAGCGCCAACAATTATCTGCTTGCACATTTCAGGACATGAGAGTGTGTCCCTAACAGGCTTAGGGGAGCGCTGAATCCCCGGCCGGGCTGGGCAAGCGCAGGATCCGCTCCTCGAGGTCTGGCTGACGACGACCGCGCCTCGATGACCCCCGTCTTCGAGCCGCGGGAGCCGGCGGAAACATTTTAGGATGCTGACTCCGTCCTTGCAAAAGCTTCTGGCTAGCAGAGCTCATGCGCTGGACTTTCGCGGCGCAGAGAGGAGAGTGGGTTTCAGGAAGACCTTGATATTAGCTAATAGGCAAGGTTGTGGGTTTGGTTGGTTTTAAACCTGCCGGTGCATGGCGTAGAAGCATTGAAATACCCTACAAAAGGATATTTTGGAAGAAATATTTTCACCAGAAATACAGTTGTTACATGTTTCATATGTCTGAGGGAAGAAAAGAAAAAAAAAAAGGAAAAAAGGGGGGAAAGAGGGGGAGGAAGAGAGAAAGAGGGAAAGAAGGAAAGAAAGAAAGAGAGAGAGAAAGAAAGAAAAGAAAGAAAGAGAGAAAGAAAGAAAGAAGAAGAAAGAAAGAGAGAGAAAGAAAGAAAAAGAAAGAAAGAAAATATATATAGAAGCTTTGAGAGATTCATCAGGAATCTTCATAGAGGGGTCGCAACCTATAGGCGAATGACCAGTGTATGATAGTCCGTGAGATTAAAAAAAGAAAAAAACAGAGGCAGTTTGGACGCTTTTCTGGAAATACATTTTAAGGGGGTTTAATTTGCAGCTTGAAGAAAAATGGAATCAAATATTAAGAAACTCCCGCAGGAATTCCCCCCACTCTCCCCTCTGTAATCCTTTACATAAAAGGAAAGGATTACAAAGAAAAAGATTGTGTGTGTGTGTGTGTATTAAAATCTTTGGCTAAACATATTGTTGTCCAATTAATACCTCCAAGTCGATTTGTAGAGGGGCTGAGAAGTCTCTTTCCCTTCTTAGCTGTACAACTGGAAATATGAGCCAGGGAAGGTGGGAGGGTAAAAAGAAGTTTTTCCCAAGTCTGTTAACAGAAGTGCTTAACCAGATCACTAAAAATTAAGAGGGCGAGTTATTTCCATTAGGACTATGAAGCCATGTAGCACACCGATGACAGTTTAGTGGAAATCAGATGAATGTGTAATACAGCGAGCTTCTTCCAGTCCAGCAGCTCTTCCAACTGGACCTATTCATCTGCCACTTGGAATTATTTCACGAGGAGTGCGCTGTGAAAGGATCACAACCAGTTTGGAGCGCAGCAAAAGAACTTCTACCACCCATAGCAGTATTATTATTATCCTTCGGATAGGGCAAGTCACGCTATGTTTTCACATTTTAATTGTAATATCTCACTTCCCCCCCTCCTTCCCTCCATTGATGTCTGAAAGTAGTTTGGGCTCCAAGCCTCACCCCTCGATCTCCATCGGAATGCAGAAAAGATCTTTAAAAAAGTTTTGAATTCCTCAATGATTTTTCTTCTAGAAAGGCGGCTTAGGATAATTATTTCAGCTTTATTGAGGGCAGATTAGTTGAAGTCTGGATGCTGCGTTTCAATACTCGTTGTACATGCCTTTACAATGTCGGTATTGTTTGCTACTGTGTGTGAACCTATTCAAAATATACACTTTTTAACACCAAGCAAAGTCCTGTCTAAATATACACAGTAAGTCTGGAAAGATGTCCATGACCCGTACAAATCTCTGTAAATCACACTTCCATAGCTACAGAAACCAAACAAAAGAGTTACCAGCTCAAGATGCTGATTAAATCTTCTTAAAAGCAACACACCTAATAATAAATATAGTTGCATGGTAGCAAGGTCTAGCGATCCAGCTATGTCTTACTGAGGGATGGACTCAAACCACCACCAACACGGAGATTTTCCTACTCTCAATTAAAAAAAAAAAAATCTGGGCTCAAACCCGCTTTTGCTCTCCTCCCTTTCCTCGTGCCCGCACAAGAGCCCTTCAAGTTCGGGGTAGAAATTGCGGGGAAAAAGAGAGCTCCTGTGTCAAGCCCCGACGGGTTTGGGGGTGAGCAGCAGCCTCGCAAGGTCGCCGGGCTCCGGAGAAAGGAAGGGGCGAGAGGAGGTGAGGCGAGTGGGAGGAGGAGAGGCAGAATGGAAATAAAACAAAGTGGAGAGAGGGAAGAGAAAGGAGAACGAAAGCGAAGACGAGGAGTGGGAGGGCGGGGAAGCGAGGAGTGGGACAGGGAGGCAGCGAGCGGGGCGCCGCCGGGGTCGGGCGCGGAGCCGAGCGGCCGGAGCGGGCCCGGGCTGGGCGCCCTGGGCGGCTCCCGGCGGAGCAGCCGCGGAACTCCGCGGCCAGCGGATCCTTCCTTTCGCGGAGAGGGGCAGGGAGAGAAGAGGGGAGGAGAGACTCTTCGGTGAACCAGAGCTAAACCCAGCTTGTACTGTATGTGCCTGCTTCTGGGAGGGTCACCGGCATGAGGATGGGTCTAATGATCTCATCTTTCTTTTCTTCCCCGGCACTATTAGTGCTCAGATAGGCAGAATGAAGTGAAACTACGTGCAAATCATGTGTAAATTGTCTCAGTTAGGAGCCCTTTATCCGAACGTGTATCCCAGCCTGGCCCATTTACTTTTCCCCCATATCTCCTTTAGCTTTAACGAGGCTCGTTAAGATCACAATAATATTCCACCCTCTAATTGCTCATCCCATTCAACAAATATGTGCACACTGCTTTTCGCATTATTTGATCCCTTATTTAGGAGGGGTGTGGAGAGGGAGGGGGAAGAGACAGGGAGAAGGGGAAGTGCTGAGATTAGGAGTTGCAAAGATTAAGGAGGAAAAAAAAAAATCCAAACAACAAACCGGGCTTTTCCACCAACCGCCCCGCTTGCCTCCCCCCCGTGCATTTGGGCGAAGTGGTAAAAACCTTCCTTACGTACTCCGTAATGATTGGCAGGGCTGACAGTGATTGGCAGCGGCTGCCATGGCAACGCCACAACGACACTCAGAAGACCAATAGAAAAGCGAAACAAAATGTTTCAGCGCTGCACTCACTGTGGATTTAGGGGAGATATTATGAGGCTGTTGTCATTAGGGCGATCGCTGTTGAATCACTGAATCCTGACTCGGCGGCGGCGCGGGGCCGGGTGTGTGTGAGTGTGTGTGCGTGTGGGGGGGGGCTGTGTGCGCGCGTGTGCGTGTGCCCGCGTGTGCGTGTGAGTGTGTGTGCCCCCGTGCCTCTATGTGGCTGTGTGTGCGTGTGCGGGTGTGGATGCGTGCGCGGTGCGTGTGCCCTTTCCTCCCTTCTTCCTCCCTTTCTTTCTTTTCTCCTTGATTTATCTCCCCCTCTCCCCGGTCATCCCATGGTGTTCAGGTCCCCGCTAGAGCTTTATCCCACCCATTTCTTCTTGCCAAACTTCGCCGCCGATCCGCACCACCGCTCCCTCCTTCTCGCCAGCGGCGGCGCCAGCGGCAGCGGCTCGGGCTGCAGCCCCGGTGCCGGCGGCGGTGGAGGCGGCAGCTCCCGGGCACCCCACGAAGAGTTGTCAATGTTTCAGCTGCCCACACTCAACTTCTCCCCGGAGCAAGTGGCCAGTGTCTGCGAGACGCTGGAGGAGACTGGAGACATAGAGAGGCTGGGGAGGTTCCTCTGGTCGCTGCCGGTGGCGCCGGGGGCATGCGAGGCCATCAACAAGCACGAGTCCATCCTCCGCGCCCGGGCGGTGGTGGCCTTCCACACGGGCAACTTCCGAGACCTCTACCACATCCTGGAGAACCACAAATTCACCAAGGAGTCCCACGGCAAGTTGCAGGCCATGTGGCTCGAAGCACACTACCAGGAGGCCGAGAAGCTAAGGGGTCGCCCGCTGGGGCCGGTTGATAAATACAGGGTGAGGAAGAAGTTTCCGCTGCCCAGGACCATTTGGGATGGTGAGCAGAAGACGCACTGCTTCAAGGAGAGGACTCGCAGCCTCCTGAGGGAGTGGTACCTGCAGGACCCTTACCCCAACCCCAGCAAGAAAAGGGAACTGGCTCAGGCCACGGGGCTCACCCCCACGCAAGTAGGCAACTGGTTCAAAAACCGAAGGCAAAGAGACAGAGCAGCAGCGGCTAAAAACAGGTCAGTGGGGCTGCGGTGCCAAGCTTCGGGGCGGGAGGCGAGGTGGGCGGCAGGACCCCGCGGGCGGACGGCCTCAGTCCGCGGCTCGGCAGCCGCC